CTGGAGATAGAAGGAGCGAAGCAAAGGAGAAGGCAAGCGAATACTGGCGAGCTTAAATGCCAGATCGTGGCCTCGTGATATAATTAAGACTCAGGAAATAGAATCATAGAATCACAGAATGGTTTGGATGGGAAGGGACCTTAGAGATCATCCAGTTCCAACCCCCCTGCCATCAGCAGGGACACCTTCCACTAGACCAGGTTGCTCAAAGCCTCATCCAGCCTGGCCTTAAACACTTCCAGGGAGGAGCAGCCACAGCTTCTCTGGGCAACCTGTGCCAGTGTCTGACCACCCTCACAGTGAAGAACTTCTTCCTAATATCTCATCTAAACCCACCCTCTTTCAGCTTAAACCCATTTCCCCTTGTTTTGTCATTAACTGCCCTTATGAAAAGTCCCTCCCCAGCTTTCTTGTAGCCCCTTCAGGTACTAGAAGGCCACTATAAGATCTCCCCGGAGCCTTCTCTTCTCCAGGCTGAACGAAATAGTCTGCATCACCTCCTCTAAGAATTAACTACACCACTTATAAATTCAGGAATATTTCTAACAACTAGCATTAAAAAAAACCACTTGACTAATCCATAGGTTGACTGGGTTTTTTTTAGCCTACAACTGGTGTCCTGTACAAAGAGGATAACTACATTATAATGACCACAGTGGATAAAGAAAAATATAAATGTTTACTTCCGCTGATAGCAAGTGGCAATGAGGTAAGTTCAGTCAAGTCTTTCTTTGTAATTACAAACTGTAGACAAATCTTTACAGTATCTTTTTAGTTACTTAAAAAAAACCCCAAACCTTCTTTTTCCTGTTAAAGGAAAGTAATTTGTAGAATGCTTTACAATTTCAGTTTATAGTAGATGCCTTCACTTTGTATTATGTACCAGCTCTATACTAAGTGATGCCAGTCTTAACAATCTTGAAGTCCTTATTTGGCAAGAAACAAGTGCTATAATGTTCTGTTTATTGCTAGATCCATCACTGATTGGGAAATTCTTGTCTTTTAAGTAATATAGTCAAATTCTAGGCCAGTAAACAACTATAAAGGTTGTTAACACTGCTATTATAACCGCTGTATCTGAAAATACTACCCCAGTAGAACTTCTGCCACCAGTAATATAAGCTCTATCTGTCATCTGTTCCTTAATTGGAAATCTGAATGCGCAATGAGGGGTTTTAATAATTAAAAAAAATAAAAAGTATATAAATACATTTGTTTGTACAAGAGAAGGTAGATTGAGGGGGCCTTTGGTGAGGTTTATCACTCATCATTTGTTCCTCCAGTGGTTTATTTTTTCACACCAGGAGAGCTTGCAGAGACAAGCTGTCCTCCTGTGTTAGAGACCTCTGTTCTGACATGGCCCTCATCCCTTAAGTGGCTGACAGTATGGAGTGCTGCAGTGTCGCTGAGAAATCTTTACTGCTGAAGAACTGTGCAGTGGAAATCTTTTCAGTAGCATGCACATTTATAGAGCAAAAATTACACAGAAATAAACTTCCACAGTATTACATATGCTTTTTAGATCCCTTTTTTTTTTTTAATTATGCAAAAGCTGGGTGCTGATGTTCCAATTATACTGCATCAGTACAGCATCAGCATTGACTAACAAATTAAAAGGTTGTTGATGCTGTTTTTCTATTCACATCCTAAGCTGCCACTCTGGACACGAGCAAGTTGAGAGCTCCTACTCTTTTGCCCTGTGTGTATTTTTTAAACCACAAAACCTTTCTGCTTTGACTGCTTTTATTTGTGACTTTTATTTGCCTCTTCTTACTAAACTAAGTGATCTTTTTCTTCTAATTATCATACAGTTCCTTCAGGGCAGGGATTAATGAGGTTTTGCATCTTTTAATTTTCAATGAGAGATTATTTTTTTAAAACTATTGCAAATGAATATTAACTAACCAAACTAATTTTTATTTTAATGTAATGAAATATCCTTTTATTCTAGGAAGAAGAAAAGGACTATAAAGGTCCTACTCCAGGAGAATTGCTGGAACCTCTTTTTAAGCAAAGCAGCTGTTCATACAGAGTATGTTACTTTCATGTTGATAATTTAAAAGCTAAACAAAAGTTTACAATCCTGTCTTTTCAAGGTTTAGTGTAGTCAACTCTTTGGATAAATGTCTCCAGACTTCAGGGTCTAATCCAATCCAAAATAATTTCTCTACAACTTCATGGCTGAGTCTTAATATTGCTGATAAAATTCTATATAATTGGACATCTCAGGGTTCAAATAAATGGGGTTGCTATAGTAGCAATTAAAAAAATGCGTATTTAAAATATTTGTTTCCAGGAGCCAAGCCGTAGTGTGTGACAGTCTAATGAAAAGCATTTCTCAGAAAGTGTTAAAAGACCAAAACAAGTACTTCTAGATATTCTGAAAGTTTTCAAATTCTTCAGCTGTCATCCCAATTCAGAGACTTGTGTCTTACAGCACATGAACAAGTGCAGTACCAAACCAGCTGGCACTGAGAACCAGAGAGTGTGCAAGTGGCCAAGAATTATAGCTACAGAACATCCCACATGAGTCCTGGAGGAAGGAAGAGTGGGACAAGCACAGTTGGTAAACAGTTGCCAAAACCAGTCTGTGCTGAGTCACTACAGCTTAGCCCCAGTGATTTTGGGGCAAGTTTAGTCTTTACATCTTATTTATATATTTTTTTTCATTTGTTTTAATGTAAGGAAGCTTTGGCTGTTGTGTTTATTTGGAACGTCATCAAAACGCTTGGGGAACACTGAGACCGTTCACTGTGCTGTTGTTTTTGAGGGTGCCCAAGCCCACCTGCTTGGGCTGTGCTTCACTGCTGCAAAAGCCAAAATTTTGGGGGATTTTTTTTTTTTGAGAGGGAGGGTAACATATCAAAACAGCTTGCCTTTTTTTTTTTTTTAAGATTGAATCTTACTGGACTTACGAGGTCTGCCACGGAAAACACATCCGTCAGTATCATGAGGAGAAGGAAACAGGACAGGTAGGCTTCCTACAATTTAGTAGTCTCAACCCCCTTTTCCACTGGCATGTACGTGCTTAACTCCTCCAGAAGACTTAAATTCCTGTGCACTTGACAAAAAGTATGGAAAATGGTAACTGAAATTTGTTTTAACTTCTTTTGATTGTAGAAAATTAACATCCAAGAATACTATCTGGGGAATATGATGATAAAGAACCCATTATCAGAACCAGGTTTGTCTTAGATTCTTCTATTTTGCTGATGCTGATTTAATTCTTTGGGGTTTAACTATTACTGTCTGAGAAATATGCTGTAGAAAACTGATTCCCAGTGCAATAGAATAGAATTTTCTAGATTACTTTTTTCACAAGATATATTGTTTTCAATGAATTACTTTTCAGTACCTTACATTGCATCCATCCGGTGAGTTTTGCCCTGCTGTGTAACTGAGTAGAGGAATTAATCTGCCGTAATTAATTAGTGTCAGGGGAAGAAAATACATAGTATAAGAAATAGAAACAATATTTCCTGGAGCAGGCTCTGATCATGTAGCCTGTTGCCACTCTTTCTGGGTGGGGAGAAGTGTCTCTCAAACCGTGAGCAGAGAGTGGAGTGTGTAGCACATCTTGGGCTCTGCTATTCTGTAATAAAACGTCGCCTGCAAATTCAAACACTTACAGCCTTTGCAGGTAGATTTGATCCTTGGAACTATTTGAGACTCTCTTTTAGGGATCCTGGCACAGATCTTCAGAAATACTGGTGTGCCTAAAGTGGGACTTTGGCAGAAATTAAGTATCTGAGCCCCAAACTCACGCTGCAGTTTAACATAACTAATTTTCTGAGTCCTTCAGGTTTTTTGCCCATAAATTATTGTAGATGCTGGAAATCCTGTGGTTGTACCTGCCAAAATCTGCTTCCCTGGGTGAGAACTTTGACACTATGTTAGTCCACAAAAAAAATCCACAGACTAAGTATTCATTCATCAGAGTTGGTAGAAAAAATAGAAAAAACAAAATCTAGCTGTGAGGGTTTTTAATTCTAGGCTAGTATGTAAAAGGTGGGCACCACCATTTTTCTCTTCCTAAAAGCAATTAACTTGAACACCTCAGTCTTGGAGGGGATTTAGCACTATTACTCCTATTCCTTTGAATTCCCACCTGCAGCCTTCAGTTAGGTATCTTAGTCCTGAAAAGAAAAACAGCTTCAGAAACTGCATTGTTTATAATTTCTTTATTAGTGAGTTACAGTGCTTGTTTGTGCTGTCATTAATCCTGTGCAGAGATGCCTCACTCTCTCTCCCTAGATGCTGCTGTACAGAAAACAAAATGTTTAATTTAAGCTACCAATTCTTTTGTGGGGCTAAATGCTGAAGTTACATGTGATGATACTTCAGGTCATCATATCTGAGTACCCTCTGCCCTTTCTGCTTAGGTGGCAGGCTGTATTCTTTCTCTGCTTCCTATACAGCAATTCATGCAACTTCTCTTAAACAAAATAACATAGGTGGTTTCTCAGAGCATTGCAAGCTGAATCCACAAGTGTGGTACAGTAAACTTGGAACGGCTGCACGGGTGACAGCAAAGCAGAGTGGCCTTTTGCTCACCTAATTCTGAATGGAGTCCAGACTATCTCCTGGCGCGGTGTGGAAGGCTAAGGATAGCTGTACACCTGGGACAACTTACCATCCCTGCCCCATAATGATGTTTCCTCTCATTATCATTAGTATGGCATGCAGTTTGGCCTCACTTTTTCCTACGAGTGTACCCTCTGAGGCTGGCTAGTGGGTGGGCTGAAGAACTTGCCTGTTTACTGTCCCAGCCTGTATTTCACTCACTGTGAAAAGTGTAGTCAGCTGCCCCTCAAAGAACAGCAGCAGTGAAATGTTCTGCTGTGCTGACTGGCTTTCCTGTGGTGCTAGGGCTGGATTTGGCCTGTCTACCAACTCAAAACTGTTTTAAGATTATGCTAACTCATGTCTTGTTCTATTTGCTCTGGACCCCAGATCGCTGTTTAATTTCTTTTCTTTCCTCTTTTGCACCTGTGAGTTCATGAAATTGACTCTTGGCAGCGTATGCACAAAGTACCAGCAAATCCACAAAACATACAAACTTCTCTGTATATAATTTCATTTTATTTCAAGTTCACAGACTTTATGCTTACCTCCTTCTTAATTATTCCCTAGATCAAGAAGAGAAGGAAAATCCAAAAGAGAGTGCAAAAGAGGCAAGTGAAAAACCTGTTTTAACTTTTGCCGTCAGTAGTGGAGGCAATTTATATATGATGAGGTTATGTAATTAGTTCCTTACAAAAATGAAAACTCAAAAAATTAAACTCTGTGCCTGAGCTGCACTCTTTTCCCTTTTGATTATCAGTCCCAGCTCAGAAAGCTTATTTAGTCTAGCTAGTCAAATTTCTTGCCCTTTGATTTATTTACATAAAAGTTACACTAATCTTAAACTTAAATGAGATTAATTATATAGTCTGCTATGAAGACAGTACACATAACCACAAAGTCACATTATGGACTAGTGACAGTTATTTTTCCAGCTACACCAGAGATCCCAATTCCCTTAATGACTCTTGTGTGCTTTTTGGGTAGGGAGAAATGTTTAACAAAATCCTGCAGCATAAAATCCCTGAAAGATTTCTTAGCTGACTTGCTGGCTCGTCCTGTGAAACTCTGTGCTTCCCTTTTCCATTTGTTTAGGCCCCAAAACTCAATTCTGAGTTACTGACTTTAGACCAAAACAATGGAAGTACCTGAAGCGTGTTGGAGTTTGGGATTAGCAATAGCAGATTTGACCTGTGGACACACACGTACCTGCCTTATTTCTGGTTATCCTTTATTTTATCATTCTCTGAAATGCAATTTTTGTCTCCATGTTCTTTATAATGCTGATTTACATAGCACACAGTGGTGGTTCTGCAGTGGATCTCAGGAAAAATACCTGCCTGTTCAGCATTTTGGAGGTAGTTGGGGGAGCACACCTGAGTCAGAATGTGGCCCATTCTAATGGCAGTGGCAGCTATGTCTCTTTGAAATGAAAGAAAACTAAGTTCTTTGTAGTGTAACTTTGTGGGGGTTTTTCTTGTTTGTTTTTAAGTTTCAGAGAAAGTTAAGGCTTTTGCGGACTTTTTTTGGACAGTATTTATGATGTACATACACCGTTTCGGTCCATAAAAAATGTAGATATGCAACTTGTATGGAATCTGTAGTTGTGAAAAGGAAAGGATACATAACACAGCTGGGTGGTGCTTAAAGTAACCAAAACCTGCTGCGACTCGAGGTTTATCTTATGTCCTACTGGGGTGCCTTTCAGTTGTGTGGAAACAACAGCTATCTCCATTTAGATTTCTTGAATAGTTACCTTCAATGTAATGCACAGGCATAATTTTTCAATTTTTAAAGAAAAAAATCAGTTGTTTCATTCAGAAAGATACAAAGGGGTGGCACTGGCACCCTTTTTGTCAGCTCTTTTGTACACAGATGGGATGTATCTTCATTTCCTGCCTTTGAATATTGAAGTATAGAGTGGAGAAATGACTGTAAGCCATGGAGCGCTCAAGCAGTTAAGCTGCTGGCACGTTCATTCTTTAACCTCATGAATGTCTCATCACTTCATTCATGATGCAACAGTTTTCAGGAGGAGAGGGTCAGTGGCCTGTGACAGGGTAACATGGTTTGAAAACCAAAGTAGGTGAGATATAGAAGGGTCTCAGGACCCTGGGTTAGTGTCCTGACCACAGAAGGCACCACTGCCTTTTACCACAGAGCCTTATTTGTTGTGCGCTGGAAACCTTTACTGGCTCTAGCAAAACAGGTAGAAAAAAGGTCTGGTTTGTGGGTTCCATCACAGCTTTTGCACAAATAGAACTTTTGGTATCCAAGAACTTTAGCTGCTTCCAAGACAGGAGCCAGGAGAGGGACTTGTACCAGTTTAGGAAATTAATTTCTTAAAGTGGAAGCAGGATGAAACACACGAAGGAACAAGTCTGAAGATAGGTACCTTACTTAAAGTGGGATTTACTGTGATGTATCATTATCTTTGTTAGCCACAGTGACAGGTGGTGTGGGATACTCTGGGTAAGGGACATTCCAGGCTGGGTATGCTGAGAGGTGTAGTGCAGGTAGCGGGATGACTTTGCAGGGGCATTTTCACATTGTTCATGGCCTGACACTGAAGTGAAGGTGACGTGCCTGGCCAGACCTGAGTTGAGTCTGGCAGAGCTGCTGGCATCTCCCTCTCTCCTAGACTACAGGGTGAACACAGCCAGCTTGGTGCTCTTCCAAAACATTGCACCCATCTGGCAAGCTTTCTTAGCATTGAAACATCAGGCAGCCTGTGCAGAGAAACCAGCTGCTTTGGCAGTCAGAGCTCACGTGGCTCAGTGCCTTTGTGTAGTGCTGTGCTGGAGCTAATAAACCAGAACATGTTTGGATGTTGCAGAAACACCAAGTAACTACACAGGGGCTGGTTTCAATCCAGTAATGGTGGCTCTGCACAGAGTAATAATATTTTTCATTTCAGAATAGTCGAAGGAGCTTTGCTGTCATTCTTAACTTTTCTTTTTTCTTTCACCTAGATACCTACAAAAAACATAGAAGGGCAGATGACCCCATACTACCCTGTAGAAATGGGAAACGGCACGCCTTGTAGCTTGAGACAAAACCTGCCCAGATCGAGTACAGTGATGTACATCTGTCATCCAGAAGCTAAACATGAGATTCTGTCAGTAGCCGAAGTTACAACCTGTGAATATGAAGTGGTTATACTGACACCTCTGTTATGTAACCATCCTAAATACAGGTACAGTATTTGGCCGACATCACTTCAAATGTCCATCCATTTCCATGCATGTACGTGTTTGTATAAAGGCATATATCCAGCTGTGGTTTCAGGCACAGAGCTGTGACACTTGTCTGTACTTACTTTGGCAAGCGCAGTTTTGCCAGGTCTTAAGTTTTCATGATAAGTTGCACAATATTTGTGTTTTGTAAGTCTCTAGTGATTGATCCCATATAAAAAGCAGATGGGAAGTATAACTTTATTTTCAACAGGTAAGTTTCTAGCCCTGTCATTCTGGAGGTACACAAATGAGGGCATTAAGGCTGCAGGCAGATGAAGAACACCCTCTCTCCTCTTAGTTTATCATTTCAAGGTCTTGGGCGATCATCTTCCCGGTATTCAAAGACTGCAGATTGTGTCTGTGCATTATATGTGTGCATAGACCTCAACTTCTCCAATCTCAGGAAACAAAAGTGTGGTGTTCAGCCATAATAATAATAATAACAACCTCAACACTTATTTTAGCAGTACTCCCAACTTAAGGAGCCTCCCATCTGTCTCTGTCCTGCTTTACTGCCTTACCTTCAGCTGTGTAAGTCATTTTCATGTGAAGAATTCACAATTCCAGTGTTGGGGTTTTTATTGGGTTTTTTTCTTCCCTGAATTATACTGTGCATCTAAGGAATACTGTTAGTCTCAATAGCACAAATTTTTGACCTTTCAAGGGGTGTAAACAGAATTGCAAAGTGAATATGACATACAAATGAAGGGGGAAATAATGGCCAGGAGTTCTGACTTGCCCATGTATACAGATGTCAGAACAAGTGGGTATTTAGTTGCTGTTCGGAAATAAGCAACAAAGTTTAAAGGACAGAATCTTGAATTGTGCATTTTATAATCACTTTCCATTTGGAGTAAAGAAGTTATGCTATTGTTAAATATTTAGTATCGATTATAAAGTTTCTCATGTAGGTGGGTTTGGTAATACAATGTTATCTGCTGCATTTATCTACTGCGCTGTTATCTCTCTACTATATGAGTCTTTTAAGCCTCTGTATCAGTAGAAAAACAGAGAGTGCACAGCCAAATTGTTCTGTCATTTGATAAGAATAAAACCTTGAGCTGCTCCCTCCTTCCAAAGGGAAGGCATGGAAGGCTTCCTGCCCACTAGCAGGAAATACTTAAAATAAACAGAAAAGATTTGTATTGTCCCACTTACGTCATCTTAGTAAATAAAAACAGGTGGAGATAGCAGGCTGGAAACGCTGCTCGGTGTCAGCCGAGGTAAGGACAAACAAACCTCATTTTAAGCACAGTGCACTTTTCCTGTCGTGTGTTGCTGCAGCAGCACTGAGCAGTACTGCAGCCGCCGGCACTTCTCCTCTGCACCCATCATCTTACCCAATAATGCACTTGCATTAACTTGGCAAAAGCATATCCATTAGTTCCAGTTGTCATTCTTATCTGGGTGCAGTTTGACTTTTTTTTAAATTGGTGGGAACTGGGGACGGGGAAGAAGGCAGTGCAAAGTAGTATTTGTCTGCTGTAACTTTAGTCTTAATATTGTTTAAATAAAATTCAGATAAAACTAGGCTGCTCCGCAGTTGCTATTTAGGAAACATTTTCAGGTGCTTTTAACTACAGTGATGATTATTATACAGCTACAGTTGTGTATTACAGACTCTTCCTAGAAGGACATCACAAAAAGCCACTTTGCCTCTGAAGCAGTATCTGCATATTTGTTTTGTAAATAAGTTTTCTCTAAAGAGGAACTTTTTCAATGAGACGAGCAATGAAAACTGAACAAATGCTTCATTTGTCAGCATGATTTTCATTTTGATGTTTGCTTTTCTTTACTAGTTTCTGTTAAGGCTTATTTGGTATTTTAATGAGGCCTTCATTTACATAAACTAAGGAGAAAACTGTATTAACTCTGCTTCTTCTCTTTGCTTTTTCCTTCCTGAAATAAGCTGCTTTTTGCAGACATATCTCATGAAGGAGTGAGGGTGTATATGCAGTATGAAAAGCCATACGTGTCAGATAAAGTAAGAATGTATGTTAATTATATAGGAACTTCATCTGTCGAGTTTAACCTTTGCTGTTTCCTAGCTTCTGAGAGAGTTTTGTGGACCCTTGACACCGCGTTCATGGTACACATACAGTGCAGTTTGCCTTCTAATATGCAGCTTTTGATGAAGAGGAGTCTGCTTGCATTGCCAGTTGTCTGGCAGTGTCAGGAGAGAGACTGTGCAGGGCAGAAAGCGTGCTCACATCAGCTGTAGGAACATGTAGCTTTGGCTGAGAGGCTGCAAGTACAAGGAAAAAAATACACACCTCAGCCCAGCTCAGTCAGAAACTTATCATAAAATATTACAAATATTTTTATATATTTATAGTATTTTATATTATAAAATAAAGCAATAAAAAAGTGTGTCTTGTCTTTAAGGTATAACAATTGATGTATTGCTAACGTGTCTGGACAGGTTCAGGGCTTCCCCTGTGAATGACATCTTTTGCCAGTCTCTGCCAGGATCCCCACTTAAACCCCATAATCTGGAACAGCTGGAGAAACAGCAAGAAATGATGAAGATGCCTTTTAGAAGGGTTAAGGAGGTAGGATTTGTTTACTTTTAAATAGATAAATATTTATTTTCCATGTTGCAACACGTACAACTTTCAGTTCTGTGGAATAAGTTCTCTTACCCAACTTTGCAAAACTATGTCAGTCTTTGAGAATGGTCTTTAAATTTGTTGAAGTCATCTGTAACTGACCTTACTGGGAAGGAAAACAAAGCAAGTTAGGTTTGGGCTACTAATTTAAAACTTCTGTAGCCTGTGTAGCCCACAGTTTACAACTGGGTTAAGTTTTTGATTTTCGATCTCTTTTTTTAGCCATGCTGAAGACAGTGAAAACAATGACAAAATGCTGTCATACTTTTTCCCACAGCCTACGTCACTGAATATTAAGTAACTTCATATAGTTTATATGACTTTGCAAAGGATGTATAAAATCTAACTGGGTGTCTTTGTGTATACTTTAATTTCAGGAAGAAATGCATTCAGTAAAAGAAGAGAAATTTTCTTCTATTCACAAGCCTGTTGCTGTTGGAAGCCATCAACTGTTAACTGTGGGAACAACCCACATCTCCAAACTGACCGATGAGCAACTTATAAAAGAATTTCTTAGTGGTTCCTACTGCTTCCATGGGGTGAGAAATAAAGCTATGCATAATAAAATAGTTACTCCTTAATGGCACATACTGGTTTATGTATTTGCTTAGTTTTTCCATGAACTCTGATAGTTGCACTCTCATACATGTAATAATTGCCTTTCCCTGCACTGGTATGGGGAAGGCTTGTATACCAAAGCCGATGCCAGAAAAGTATCTGTAACCTTTCTGTTGAAATTCAATTTATTTGAGCAGACATTGAAATGAAAGTAGATAATGAGAATTGATCAGTGCTGATTTTGTTAATGAGAACGAAAAAAAAAATTCTGATAAAACTTACTGAGAGAAGAGCCAGCAGAGAATAGGCAGCTGAAATTTTACCTGTCTTTCAAAGAGGAAGATATTTCTTTAAATGATGAATAGGGGGTGTACAAATAGTTTAAGGAATTTAGTCTTGTGTGGCTCTTCCAAGAGGCTACATAAAAAATTAGATCCTCTTTGCTTAAACTCATCATGGAATAGATGGAATTCCCTTGCCTATGTCAGTTAGTCTAATAAGAGATGCTCTGTCAATGCAAGCCTTGAATTGACACACCTGAATAACAGGTGTAGAGTTTTACATAGCCAGTGGCTTAAGGTCTGGAGGAAAGTGGATGTGGTTGTTTTGGGGCATTGTGTTTGGTTTGGGGGTTTTGTTTTAACACTGAGATTATACCTCTCCCTAGGGTGTTGGCTGGTGGAAGTATGAATTCTGCTATGGCAAATATGTTCATCAGTATCATGAGGTATGCTGAACTAGATTTATGTGCTGCCACTAGATGGCTGTGGGTGTCGGGGGGAAAATGGGTAGAGAATCTGTTTCTGATTTAAAAAAAAAAGGGGGGGGAGGGGAAGGAAAAAAAAGCAGCATCCTTTTCTTGGCTGAACATCTTGGGTTTCAAAAAATAAATCCTCTGTGTGCTGCCTACGTTTCTGCAGGGGAATGTAGGTACCATGTCAGGTAGAGCACAGTGATAATCAAAGCTGAAACAATGTGGGTTTTTTTGTGGGAATGCTCTTCTGGTCATTTAAACATTTTTATTGGCTCACACAGCCTGGGTGGTTGTTCTGAAGAGACCATCAGCTTGGCTGTTAATAGGGGATCAATCACAGTTTGTCTGAAATGCAAGAACATGCTATGTTGACAGAAGCAACCTTGCTCTAGGAATGATGTTCTCCTTGTCATTAAAATATCCTCACTGCTAATTTTATAATACAAGGCAGTGATCAGCTTTTCCTTTTCTAGGATAAGGAAAGTGGCAAGACTTCTGTGGTTGTGGGTACTTGGAGCAAGGAGGAACACATTGAATGGTCCAGGAAGAACGCTGCTAGAACCTACTACCTTAGAGAAGATGGCACCCAGACCGTTAGGTACGGCTGCAGTCACCGTGATTACTACTCCAGTTCTCTGTCCCTGAATTATCTCAGACTTGCCATAGAGAAGAATAAATGCCAGGGCCCACTTCTGCAGTGCATGAATACTCATTTTACAAATAGATGCAATAACCTGTCAAGAGCAGGGTGTACAGATTTCCCTGCCCCAGTCAAGAACGAACATGAGAAAAGGTAATTCAGCACTTTGGATATGACACAGAGAAAAATCTTCCAACAGTGAACAACTATTTGCTTCTTCAGTAACTGAAATACAGCATTTTAGTACTTTGTTTTGTATGCTGGAGTTAAATATTTGAAGAATGATGAGATACTGTATCACACAAGTTAGCAGTGTGCTTAAGAATTGTTTAATGTTTCCAAACTTTTTCATTCCAATTAATTTTGTGGCAGGATGGTGTCTCACTTCTATGGAAATGGAGATGTTTGCGACTTAACAGACAAGCCAAGGCAGGTGACTGTGAAATTGAAGTAAGTTAACTTTTTTAGTAAACTTGTGTTTTGTGTCTCTGCTTCCTGTGTCAGAGGAAAGCCTCTGTCTTCTTCATACAGCTCAGAAAGCAAAGACTGTTAGCTTAATAAAATTGCTATAGACACTAAGGAAATAATGATTTAGTTTTGTGCTTCTGACCTGCTAAACACTGCAAAATTTCTCTTCCATTTTCAGATGTAAAGAATCCGATTCCCCTCATGCTGTGACCATATACATGTTAGAGCCTCATTCTTGCCAATACATCCTTGGGGTAGGTAAAAACAGACTTGAATTCCCTCAGATCATGTGCCACCTAGCAGAAGATGTCTCCAGGTGCATGCTTAAAAGAGCCCCTTTCTGCCAGTGACTGTGCACAGAAGATTCCTGTAGCCCATCAGCCCAAACACGTCGCTGCTAACCAAGTACGGCTTTTTGTTCAATTGCCTCTGCTTGGAGAAAGGAAGGTCGTTATCCATTCCAGGAGTGACATCGTTACCATGCTATAGAGGTCCTACCCAAAACTAAACAGCGCTTACAGAATTCACAAAGTGATCACAGAATCACAGAATGGTCTGGGTTGGAAGGGACCTTAAAGATCATCCAGTTCCAACCCCCCTGCCATCAGCAGGGACACCTTCCACTAGACCAGGTTGCTCAAAGCCTCATCCAACCTGGCCTTGAACACTTCCAGGGAGGGGGCATCCACAGCTTCTCTGGGCAACCTGTTCCAGTGTCTGACCACCCTCACAGTGAAGAACTTCTTCGTAATACCTGATCTAAACCTCCCCTCTTTCAGCTTAAACCCATTTCCCCTTGTTTTGTCATTAACTGCCCTTATGAAAAGTCCTTCCCCAGCTTTCTTGTAGCCCCTTCAGATACTGGAAGGCTGCTGTAAGATCTCCCCGGAGTCTTCTCTTCTCCAGGCTGAACAGCCCCAACTCTCTCAGCCTGTCCTCATAGCAGAGCTGCTCCAGCCCTCAGATCGTCCTCGTGGCCTCCTCTGGACTCATTC